ACACACACACACACACACACACACACACACACAAACACACACAGGCACGCACACATTGACACACACACACAGGCCCAATATACCACATTTTAATGCTGCACAGTATCAATGTTATACAGCTTTATGTTTCTTATCGAGACTTCTGCTCCTCTGAACAGTTTCAGAGTCAAAATCAGAATGATCAGAGGACAGGAATACATATCTGCATAAAAACACACAATCTTGAACAATGGCCCTTTGTACAGCTAGGGGCAGTAAGCTGCGTGCACGTCAATTGAGGACTTGATTTAGTTTTACACAGAAACTTACCTTCAGGAAGGGAATGACAAATGGCCTCAGAGGAAAATTGGTGGCCTCGTGAAGTTTGGAGTGAAACTCTTCGATAGTGAGGGTGGAATTCTGTCAGAGAAAACAGGCCGAGTTAAATAAAAGTGCGCACAAGAGTCACAAACGAAAATTAATTCTGCAGGAATGTAATGAGAACTCACCACCAGTCCCAACACAAGGCTGCGCACTCTCTCTCCGATCTCAGGCGATATGTCGTTGCCAAACTGCTGCAGCGTGGTCAGGAAGCGCTTCAGCTTGCAGAGCTGCCGGGCGCCGCAGGCCGGCGGGAGCTGCTGGTTGGAAAGCGAGGCCGTCGAGGACATGGCCGGCCCGTTGCTGAAGCCGTTGGGCGTGGACGGAGCACCATTCAGCGATGTCGGAGAGTGGCTGCTTCCGTTCAGCACTGCAGATAAACGGACAGACAGAGGGGGAAAGAGACAACGTGAAGTGGGTCAGTGTGGATGGGGCCTGGGGGGCATCTGACAGATCTGAGGGCAAGAGGGGAGACGAACTCATATGCTGCTAATAGAGGAGAGTTTGGGTCAAATTCAATAGACGTTAAGGACACAATAGACCCAGTAGTCTTTGAGGCACAAAGTGACTTCTGTGGTGCACTTTTCCCCCAGTTTGATGGAGAACTCTTGAGCATGTGTTTGTGTGTTTGCAGCAACTTCAGCTGTCTCACAAGTGGCACCATGGTACATCTGACCCCCCACCCCCTAGCTCCCCCTCTGTATCAGTCTATTCCACCCTGCTCCTCACCCTCTTCCCCCTCACTCACTCACTCAGTAGGACACAGCTATAAGAGGAACTTGTTAAAGAGCTGCCAAAAATAGTCCTGCGGCCCATGTTACTTTTATTCCAGTAGCAGGTGTGGAGCCAAATTTGGACCCGCACCTGTCCACCAGCTGAAAGTAGCTTTGCAGCTTAAGGGTTCAGAATAGACTCAGCACTCATACACATGTATAATCACTCACATATCACTCTTCTTAATTCAGGCACAAACAAACTCATAGATACACAGGAGCTCACTCACACACACATTCTCACACGTTTGACCTTACCCCTGATTTCACATTTGAGTTTCTGAGCCAGACGCGAAAAAATAAATGCAAACTACGTTGTCAGATTTGATTTGGAGATGAAATGCTCTTTTCAATCTCTACTGTCTCTTGTAATTGCATTTTTTAAAAATATGCATTTGCACGCATGACATCTGTGTGGCCGCAATAATCTTTACTAAACGTATCAAAGCCTCGACAGTGAGGCACCGAAGACTGTAACGCTCTGTCTTAAAACTTAAGCTTGAAAACAAGAGCGTACGCAGTTGAGTTGGTCAATAGTGGAGTTGCTGCTGTTCCTCTCCGGCATGCTTGTTGCTCTAATCTTTGGGTCGAGGGCCTCAACACATATGGACTGACCCATGTGATCCCGACAGGCAGCAGCGCTTGTGTTCTGGCTTTAGAGAGGAGGGAGAGGTGCGAGGAGGGCGCTACACTGCTGACCGTCGGCCACAACAGGTGAAACAACACAGCCTGTCATTGCTATATAGGGAAGAAATTAGTCCACACACACCGCAACAGCGCCCAGGCTGATGTCCCCTGTACCGCCGCCGCCGCCTGACCAGCTGGTAAACAACACAGACACACTCGCACATGCACTCAAGACAATTGTGCCACCAGCAAGGACATTCTGCACACAAAGAGACACACACATACACACTCACACACATAGTTGCCTGCAGAAACACACCTGACGCACAAGTGACTTCAACACTTGCTCAGCAGAACAGGGAAGAAACACATATTTGGAATTTCCCCTCATGTTTTACATATTATCATACATTCCCTTCATATTTGGAATTTCCCTTCATGACGGTTGAGCAACAAAGACTGTGGCGTTCATTGTAAATGTCGTCTTAGGTGTTAAAGCATGTTATTTTCAAAGATTGATGGGTGAATGGTTTTAATCAAGGTCTTAATGACACTATGAAATATCAAAGTGGCCAAAGTGCTTTCTTGTTGGGAACTGTTGGGTTTAAAGATTATGACTTTTTAAGGTCTTGACCTTATTATTATTTATTGTTGAATTGAATACCTTCTATTTTAATTCATTCATTTTTTGCTATGGATTTTTGTGAAGCACTTTGTAAGCTTTTTAGGATAAGTGCTATACAAATAAAGTTATTATTATTACTATATCAGACCTAGACCAATACTCTGATTTTGGGTTGAATTTCAAAATGTTTGCTTAAATTTTACAGTGAAAGTGAAACAAATGGAGAGAAAGAAAATGCCACAAAGTTGCATATGGAATATCAAAGCAGACATTGTGATCACAATATGCATCTTAACACCAATAGGCCACTGGTTGCAGGGTTATGGTGCACATATTACACTGTATCAAGTTAACCTACAGTACTATAGAGAACCCTTACTTGATTTACTGGTGGTGGGGGTGAACGAAGCGCTGCGATTGGTTGCTTGGCTGACAGCCGGGGGTGGTGGAGGCATGGTGGGTGGGGTGGACCTGGGCTGGGTTTTCACATCCGCAGGTGAATCTGGCATTGTTCCAACCGTCTGCACTCTGCTACCTGAGATATGAGAGGAGGAAAAGACGGAGAGAAACAGAGAGAGAGAGAGAGACATCAAGATGGAGCTCAGGGAAAGTCATACTTTTCAAAGTGGAAACAGCTGGTGAAGGAGCAGAGCACGGACATTTTCACCTGGGAACCATCGATTGTTTCCTTAAACCAAAAAAAGTCCTATAAAAGGAAAACAAATCAATGCAGAGTGGAAATGAATCCAAACTTGTATTGTGTTGGAGATTCATGGGCCTGGGAGACATACAGTAACACCTGCTCACTCGTTCAGCTGCTGCTGACTGAAATCCCCTCCTTCTCTCCCCTCTCTCTTTCTCCTTCACACAGACACACTCCATGTAGCTCTGACATCCCAATCAGTGCCCCTTCACTACAACTTCCAACCCCCAAACACACACATGCACACACTCCTCCCCGCCTGTCCCCTCTCGTCCCCCTAGTTCAGACAGCCGGCTTGACAGCCAGTGACAAGTGCAGCTGGATCTGCTGCTGTCCATCACTGTGGACTGGCTTTCAGCAGAGCTCTGGCTGCTACTAGAGGCTCCCCTGTCCTCTGCCAGACACCCTGCCAGGACCAAACAAGGCAAGGCCAGGCGCTGTATCGTGAAGGGGATAGATGGTACAGAAAAGGACACAAGAAGAAAACAAGACGCAGGGTGGATGTGCCAAAGCCGCAAGCGTGCAACTCCTGCCTTTTATTCTGTATTTGAAGGAGAAAGAAAGTCTAATGCACAGTATACATGTTCAGCACAAAACCACATTCACTGAGACAAACTATTCACAATATCTATTATTTGATGTATCGGTGGCGTGTTGACACTCTTTCTCTCTATGAGTCTGACTCAGTGCAGCTGTTGGAACCATATCCTTCTGCAATGTCAACCTGAGCTGAGAGGTGTGATGACTTTTGCAGCCTGTGAGCAGATAGCTTTTATGCATGTGTGCATGTGGAAGTGGCAGAGAACACCACAGATGTGCACTGTGCGATGAAAAACAATGACATCAAATCGCAGCACAGTTCATACATCTGAACTGAAACATCTTTCTGTCAAAAACACACGTTTATGTGGAATTCATTGAGTTTGGTTTGAAGCGTCCTTTCTTCTTTTCTTTTTCTCTCTTTCAGCTGTTAATGTATCACAGAAAAAAATCCATTAAATTAACAAATCACTAAAGGAACCTTTCAGAAAATGTAACCTCTTGTGCTTTACTAATAAGTAAAAGGAGAAATACTCTCAACACCACTGGATTGAAACCCAGTTTCCAACTGCAGTGTTAATACATCGTAGTAACTAACATATTAAATCACTGTCACGTAGTGTGTCTTACATTTCACTTCTCCCATGAGCCAACAGTAAATCCAGTGTTTTCCTCCGCGGCACATTTAGCCCATTTCTCAGAGCTCGCGTTCAACAGCTGGTGTCTGTATTTAAAGAGTGCCACTCTGGAGTGCTGCTGCACGAGGGCCATTGACACAGTGATCCTCGGAACACGAGGGGCACTCCGCTGTTTGCCTCACGCCAGAAGCTCCGAACATAAACACATAAGGTTGCAGATAGAGGCAGACAAGGTGGTTGGTATAAATAGATGCAGCCATTCTCTTCCATAGAGCTCAAAAACACACAAACAAGCTCGCCGTGCTACTGAATTGCTGGGCAGCTTCCTGTAGGGAGACGGCCATATGTTCCAGTGAAACCTCGTCTTTCATCAAATTGTACCGTGCCACTGTGTGAAGTGTGCACTGCAGGACGCTCATACAGCAAATACTTTTCTAGAGAGTAGCTTAGTCTGTTTGTCCCTTGTAAGTCTGAAAATACAACTTCACTCAAATGAACAATAGGTGGACTCGTATGTAAGACCAGGGGGAGGGTGTACAATTAATATGCTTTTGTGGCTTTCTCTCACATACAGCACAACTATTTTTATCACTTCCTTTGGAGGAGGGGAGACAAGGGGAGAGGAGACAAGAGGAGATGAGCAAAGAGGAGAGGAGAGGAGTTGAGCAAAGAGGAGAGGAGAGGAGAGGACATGAGAGAGGAGGAGACAAGAGGAGAGGAGAGGAAATGAGAGGAGACGAGAAAAGCGCAACTACTTTTGTCACTTCTTTGGGAGGAGAAAAGAAGGAGAGAGGAGAGGTAGGGCCCTGTCTCTCTGTCCGTCCGTCTGCTCCCACTGTGGGATTATAGACAGCTGTTTAATCTGACCAGCTACAGGGACAGGGCACACACATATGCACCACGCTCTGGATTTCACTTTTAATACATTAGAAAGTCTGCTAGGTCTGCAACCCCATCTGCGGCCATCTGTCCTCCCATTGTGTTTGACGCTGAAGGACAACACACACATGCCAAAAAGAAGGATGAAAAAGAAGAGAGAGACTGATGAAAGTCGACCTGTGGTTGAGGTTCAGGTCTGAACCACGCTCCTGTCTGCAAGCTGCTCGATTTCACCCCAAACAGGTTTTTATCTGAGCCTCTGAAAGGAGCCACTTTGTGATCAATACAGCTGAGAATAGATACAGAGATGCTGCTGTCTGTCCCAAAGAGCCACTATTGAATATTTAGCTGAAAATAGAGCGACACAATCATTACAGCTACCTCTCTGCTGCTGTCTGTCTCTGTTTCTCAGCCGTACGCCTGCACGCTTGACGTAACCGGGGCTAAAAGATTGCTCACCAAAGAAACAAGTCTGCCGTCTGTAAGTTCTAAAAATGTTCTCTGTCTTATCCTCTCCCCGTGTGCAATGATGAAACAAAGTGAAAACAACTATTCGCTGTGAGACGCACAAAACCACACACCCTGCATTGTACTGTGGGCTACAACTGCACTCACTTGGTGGTTTCTACAGCCATTTTGGGGTCTCATTAGAGATTTAAGATATTTGCACACGGTCATCAAAGCACTCACATACACATACACAAATAAATACCCTTTCACACTGACAGGCCATTAGACGGCAGTTTAGACACTGGTCTCCTTTCACACTGCCATATGTCTGTGCGCTGCATATCTGCGTGTGTGTATGTGAACGTGTGTTTGTGCTTCCCCTGGAAATACAGCTGCAACTTATTAGCCTGAGCTAACCACCGAAGAACAGTCCCCCTCAGTACCCCCCCCCCCGTCTATTCAATCTTGCGGACTCCACAGAGACTCTTCTCAGTGACCACATAGCCCTAAAACTCTCCCTCTGTCTCTCGCTCCTTACATCCCTCCCTCCCTCTCACTGTAATTCCCCCAGTCTCCAGGAATGCTGTTGTTTTTAATTTCTCCCAGCTGCTCTGGCTGGCTGCCCAGCCTCCTGCCTTCCCACATCTGTTCCCTATCAGGCCGCTGAGGAGTCCACACAAACACAGCCTCAGCCTCTGGCCCCCCAGCCCCCCACCAGGCCTTCATATCAAAACACGGGGATTGTAGCCCTGTGCCTCGGACCTAAAAGACTCAGGGATACAGCACTTAAAATGTTGTGCACTCTCATAATATGAGCCCAAATAATAAAAACCCTGTTGGCATCTGTAGCATGAAACACTTCAACCTTTTCAGGTCAATCTAAAGAAAGATTTTCATGCCAACTAGTTCTATTATTTTGATACACGCCTTGTTATCAGCTGGAGGTACAACGTCACAGGTAAGACAGGAACATGTGTGCGTGTCTGTGTGTGGGTGCACACGTGTGTGTATTTGTGTGTCAGCGCTTCTGCAGACAGATCCCAGACTCCACTTCATCTTAAACTGATTTAGAGCTCAGAGGCTTTAAAGCCCTCACTAATGACAGGGTGGGAGACAGGCCTGTACAGTGCTTGCACACACACAAACACACACACA